AGGACAACAGAGCTGCTTCATGGAAGAAGAACCTCAGCTTAGCCTGTTAGCCTTTGCGCTAGCGCTGACGCTATATTGCCTTATATGTATTAGCTCGGTACTAGCGCGACAAGCTAAACTGAGGTCCTCTATCCATATTTTCAGTTGCAGACTGAGTCATTTTTGCGTTCCCCTCTCTGTCATGTGGATGGAGGACCTCAGTGACGAGAGGAGAATGTGTAGCGCTGAGCTAATACATGTATATGGTGATAGTGTCTGGGCTAACACTAAAGCTAACAGGCTAAGCTGAGGTTCTTCTTCCATGAAGCAGCCCTGTTGTCCTCCATCTATATTTTCAGTTACAGGCTGAGTCATTTCTACCTTCTCCTCTCTGTCAACACTCTCTAATTTCATTTAAAAGAGTCGATCATCAGATATTGTCCAAGATTAACCTTCAGGGTGGATATAGCTCACTAGCAGCCTCGCACCGATGACCTAGTTGATGTCATCATTTACCCAGAATGCTTTGCATGTAAATAAAATGGTTCGTCCGTGTAATATATTTTTAAACTTTTAGTTTAAAAATGATAAAAACTGAACATCCTGCAGTATTTTTACAGTCTTTATTTTACATTTAAGGTATATATTTATCATATAAAGTTTAATGTTACAACTAATCGGGGATCCCTTTAAACAAAGCTACTAATTATCTGTCTCAGGTGAGACAACATGACTGCAAAACAACACAGGACCAAAAGTTAGCTTCTAACTCCAAGCTTCAGTTAATTAAAGGACTGTTTCACCTTTTTTTATTATTATTATTTTTTTTTTTTTTGCATTTGTAGGCTACTTTAGATCAGCTTTGGTTAAAAATCTAAAACGCATTTTCTTGTAAAACCTTGTTTAAATTATTTTTTACATTGGAATACATCAAACACAGTTTGCAGTTAAATTTATGTTTTAAAATATTTCAATGATTTTGGCACCTAACAGGTCAGTCCATTTGCTTTCTTATCACTACAGTGTGTTTGGAAAGCTAGGGTGCCAGCAGGCCAGGAGGAGCAGGTAAAGATGTAAATGATTTATTTAACTAAGAAGATAAGGGCTGCAAAGGCAGAACACTCTAACAAAAAACCCCAGAATAAGCACAGAAATCCAGGAATGAAAACAGAGAGCTGAGGTGATGTGAGAATAAACATTGCGCTCCACTGCAGTAAGAAACACTAAGCAGTGTGTCACAGGGTTCTTCTTCAGGTCAACATTGCCAAATACAATTCAAAAATCCACTGGAAAGTCAGGAAAATTTCTGCTCATCTGGATTTTGTCTTCGTTCTTCACAGTGGGAAAAACACTTGTCTTTTTTACACGTCTTTTAAAAAAACACCATATTTAACTCTAAATCCCTCTTAGTCATTCACTCCCAGCCTCCTCAGTGACTGGGAGCAACTCTAATCTATCCATACTCTGACC